CCAATATTTTTGATCTGTAATTAGTCGAATTCTTGGATGCAGAATCCATGCTATGGTGGGCTATCTATATTTTAGGCTTTGTGAGTACCTGTGAACTCCATCACAAGTCTAAAATATTCTTAGCCTTCAGATTGTGGAAAAACGAAAGCAGGGTATATGCTGAATTTGGCCAACAGGCAACCACTCATTTTAAGGTCTAGCTATTATAGAATTTTAGGTGAAATATATTTGTTGCAAACATGTCTTGGCTATACTTGTAGAGTTAAAAATTTAACTGAAAATCCCCAAGCTGAAGTTAGCAGCAATTTAAAACTAAAAGCAAAGGATGGCAGTGATCGAAAACCGGTCAAGCAATGATGAAGCTTATGCTCAAGTGTCTTCCTAAGGATTTCAGAACTCTCAGTATCTCTGAGGCTCTTTAGGCTTAAGGAAATTGTTATTAGCTCTATCTAAACCCCAGGCTCCTAAGACAGAACCAAATTAGCCTATATAGAAAATTCTATTCACATAATTTTAATTGAATACCCAATTTAACAAATCCTTAAATCTTGTAAATTGCTTAATATTAGTTGTCATTAGAAATGGAAGTCAACAAATTTCAAGTCACTAACTTTACTTGTAAGGACTTTGATCATTTTACTTTATATAAATAGAAACCAAATATGAATCTGTTTTTGGGCTGGGGATGTGGTTCAAGCAGTAGCGTGCTTGCCTGGCATGCGCGGGGCGCTGGGTTCGATCCTCAGCACCACATAAAAATAAAATAAAGATGTTGTGTCCACCAAAAACTAAAAAATATAAAAAAATATGAATCTGTTTTATATAGAGAAGAGAACCTGACTTCCTTTAAACTCTTTAAAGCATACTCTTTAATGGCAAAAACTCCTGTAATATGAATGCCAAATTCTTTGTTTTGCACCTTTTGTATGTTGGGCTTTTAAAACATACTGTCATTAGTTAATGCCTAAAAAGATCAAATTAAGATAACCAGCATCACTGTCAAAGTCTGTTACCTGGAACACCCTCATTTTCTTTGGGGAAAGAAACTTCTCAGGTCAGTATATTCTCATTCCAAGGGTAAGAAGTGTGCTCTGCTGGTTGATCTGTTTATTCTGACCTTCCTCCCCAAACAATTGGGCTTTATCATTTGCAATGGAAGAACTCTAGACTGGATTTTCTATTTCAGTTGTTTTGGGTTAACAGTATGAGATTCGGGGGCAAGAAGTTCCTATTCCCCAGTTCGCTGACACAGAAGAATATGGTAAAACAGATTTCCTTCCATGCTGTATTTGAAAATGTGCTAAGATAGAATTGTGCTCATTTGTGACTACCAAGAAAGAACTTTTTGACAAAAATTGGGATTTTTTTAAAAAATTAGGATTTAAAAAAACTAATTTTAGGACTGGGGATATGCCTCATTGGTAGAATGCTTGCCTAGCATGCAAGAGGCCCTGGGTTGGATTCCCCAGCATCATACCACAGAATAGAAAAAAACCTTAGAATCAAATAGAAGGTTGTTCCCACCAAAGTAATGGTATGTCACTAGTTGGCCATGTGCAGGTAAGTAGGTGGAGACTAATAAACATATATATCAAAGCCAATCTCTAAGTCACAGGACTGGAAATACTAGGGAGCTTTATCATAGCAGACAAACATCTGAAAAATAGGAATTGATATGCCAAATATCCCCTAGCCATAGTTAATTGTAACTCCTTAAGGAAACATTATTATTTCAAAACCAAGTCATAGCTTTTTCCCCCTTTCCCTTCCAGGTGTAATTCAGTGATACAGCCTTGCTGGGTTCCAGCAAGGCTGTATCACTGAATTATACCCCTGGCCCTTTAAAAAATTATTTTGAGACAGGGTTTCTTTTAGTTACTGGTGCTGGACTCCAACTTGTGATCTAATCCTCCTGCCTTAGCTTTCAGAGTCACTGGGATTAAAGGTGTGTGCCACTAGGCCCAGCCATGGATATCAAAAGGCAGGACAAGTTCAGATTCGGCCTTGGCAACTTAGTGAGACCCTGTGTCAAAAAATAAAAGGGCTGAGGATGTAGTTCCAGTGATGGAACACCCCTAGATTCAATCCCTAACTGTTGTAACATTCACTGTAAAAAATCCATCTGTCAATTTTTATAGTAAGATCAAAGCACCTGGTTCCCCCCTTTCCCCTCCAATAAAAACCAGAACCCAAATCCTAAGACTGCTTCCTCAAATGTCCTTCACAATAAGCAAAAACCTTTATGGAGAAGTCCGTGATAGCATAGGCTAATTCTCAGGAACATGAATTACCTACATGTGGATTATGACTCAGTAAATGCCCATCCAAGATGAAAGTACAATAAATGTTTGTAAAGCCATCAACTATTAATTTACATAGTAAAATATGTACATGGTTATTTGAGAGGAGGAGCTTGATAAGAAATCATATGGTTGAACTCAAGGTCATGTCCATAATTTTACTGGCCAGATAATTTGATTTCTCTCATTCATAATATGGATAAATAGAAACTGAGTATATCTTCAATTAAACCAAAAAACCTTTCATTCACATGCAACAACTTACTTTTGGGCTTCCCATCAATTTGGATGAGGTCTCAACAGCAGGAGTTTCCTCCTTTCAAATTATCTGACAAAGTTAGGTCAAATTTAGAAGTTTAAGCAGAGGACTTAGAAATGCAAATTCATAAACAGAGCAGTTGGCTATACTTACCCTTTTGATAGTGGAGTTAATTTTTTTGAAAACTTTCCTAAGCTATATGCTATTTTGTGTGGTAATAAACAGAGAGTCTATTCTTTAGCTTGGAAAACAAAGTACTACCATGGGAAGAGGGCAGTTCCTTTTCTTCCAACATGTTCCACTTTTCTATGCCCTGTTCAGAAAAGCAGAGCTTATTAATTAAAAGGACGAAAGGCTTGCACTGCCAGATGCTGATGGAAAGATATATTCTGCCTTTAATATGGTTTATCTCAGTCCTTTATGTGCCTGTCATTGCTATGTAAGTAACAACTGTGTCCTTGGGTTTCCTTATAGCCAGAAAGATGAGAGCTTAGCACCTGGGAAAGCAACTGAGTTGGAACTCTTGAAGTCCCAGTTCCAACATGGTCTGTTCATTCATAACTGTGGATTAACCTGATCATATTCAGCAATGGGTGTTCTGCAGCTAGGCTACTGGGCTCCCAATTTAAATCCAGAGGGAAGTGTCCCAGAGTTTTTGGTAATATGTACACACCGGAGTACATAAGTTTAACACTGAACATTTTCGGGGGAGGGAGTGCTCTCAGAATGAATGTGGGGTAGACTGAGGCTTCTATTTTCTAACTTCTATTCGAATAGAATTTAAGAACTATTTAGTTGGGATTCACCTTATTTAACATAGACACTTGTTAAATAAGGTCACAGGACTTAAGAGACCACTTCAAAAGGGCTATTAGGAGAGAGAAACCAAGACATTTGCTTTTAATACAATTTATATTATTATGTATGATTACAGGAAAGATGGTTCTCATCTGCTTTTCATTCAGCAAAAGATGGTAACAGTGAAAAAGAAATACTGTTTTAAAAGGTTCATATGGCACTGAATATTATGACAGTCTGGGGTACATTAGTAGAAATTCTGGCTCAGATAAATTTAGGGAATTATATTTTTTCTCTCTTAAGCCCTACCTCTCTTAGTGATAATTCGTGAAACAATTTACCTGTATTGCTCTGTTTTAACTAAGGAGACATGTAAGACAAGTGTGGGAGAACAAACTACCAGAAGAGCAGTATTCTAAGATACCAATAATAAACGTGTTAGCAAAAAACTCTACAGTTGCTGGGCTAAAAATACTGGAGTAAAAACAGACAAAAAAGTCTATGTATTATCAAAATTTGTTCAGATACTCTTAGGAGAACAAATGTCAAATGCATATTCAAAATAACACAATAACAAACATCACCATATAGCACATATTTGGAAAAATGATTAAAACTTTTTAACAATACATTATTGATATATTATGGATAAGACCTAAGTCTATATGTAGAAAATGGGAAACTATTGCTAATAGCTATTTTCTCCTTATATTTTGTCTTTTAGCAATACCTGAAAACCCAATGAATTATCCACAGAATATTTTCAAATTGTCCATTTCAGAAAGTAATGTCATGTGGATAAAACCAAATGCTCTATGCTTAATTCATGGGAGGCAATATAACCAGAGAATTCAAGTTTTTCTGTCCTCCTAAAAAAAGAAACATTTCCTCCAGATGTTAATTGTAGTGTCTTATTTATAAAGGTTTACTTTGGCAAACTAAAAATATTCATGTGTGAGTATTTAGTCAAATGCTGGATTAGATTCTTTGACAGTTTATCTGGCTCTAAAAAAACACTGAACATGTAATGAATAAATGGATGTTAAACTAGCTGGGCTGGCCTGTTAACAACATGCCTCTCCTTAGAAGATAGATCTTTTGTGTCTTGATCAGAATGAAAAAGAAATTCTTATTAAATCAGATCAAGGATAAAATTTGGGGCTCTGATTCTTAAAACAAACAAACAAAAACAGTAAATAGATGCATCAAAAAAAATTTTTTTTTCATTTTAATTTCCTCCAAATACCTGCTCTCAAATCCTACAACACATTTTCATTATAAAGACCCAAGAAAACCATAACAACTAGTTCCTTTCAGGGGAACTTATTTTTAGGGTCCGAGAGGACATATGTTGAAGAAACCTCAAATCAAACATGGTGTGCCCAGCCATATTTTATATTTTGGATAGTTCCACTAAAAGCCATATTGAAAACAATGAGGATTGTTATGAAAGAATATCCACACATTTAAAAAAACAAACCAACCACATAGACACACAGCGAAACCAAACATGTGCACACTTACTTCCTTTAGGGGAGGAGAAAGCTAAAGAAAATCTAGATCTAGAAATATAAATGGTCTTGAATACCTGCTATACCAAACACCTCTACAGGCAAGATAAAGACGAAAACAAAAACCAAACATTTGTTTTCCTGTTTTTTCTTTAATACAGTTGCCATCTTACAAGATATACCATTAGGTGCCTTTGTAATAGCATCTAATCTACCCTTTCATTGCACCAGTTGGCATCCTGGGAAAGAACTCCTTACCACTCATGTTTGGGGAGCATTGCTGTTAAGTACAATAAACCTAGCTCTTATGGTTGGGCCATAATCAATGAGCAGTGGCATTAATTTCTAAAAACAGATTAACGCACACATTCAAACCACATTAAAATTTTAACTTAAGAGTTCATACAAAGTCAATTTCCCTTCTATAGTAGCTATTGCTCCAGATTGTGGTTTTAAAATCCAAGGAGAAGAATGTCTCTTTATTTTATTGTTGATGCTTCTTACTTTCTTCCTTTTCTTCTACCATACTTTCTATCTCCCCTCCTTTCTTTCATTTTCTTTTTCCCATTCATTTCCTTCTTTTCTTTTTCCTTCTTTTTAAATAAGCGGTTAAAAGAAATGGGTTATTAAGGAAATCAAAGTCTAGTAAAACGTCTAAAACAGATCAGAGAGCTCACAAACTCTTCTTTGTATCGATGTTAAATTACTGAAAAAAAATTTTTTTTTTTTTTGAAAACAAACAAACAAAAAATCTAAAAACAAGCATATGCCAATTGTGCTGTTTATTTAAGCAACTGGCGTTCCTCGATGCTTTTGAGGCGTTTCTTCCGGGGCTGTACAAAGTCATCATCTGAATCATCACTAAATTTATTATCTTCTGATTCATTCCTGAATTCTAGCTTAGGAAACCTTTTTTCTGGATAAAGGTTCTTTAGAAGTTCTTCAAAATAGCTTTCAAGTTTTATGCCAGCATTGGCTACTTCTGAGTCAGGCTGTTGGATAAAAATAAAAATATGAATTAAAAAATAAGACCTACTTTTTAGACAGTCAATAAATGTAATCTCTTATATTACAATTTTCTGTTCACCTTTGACTCTTGAGATTATGAATATAAATTAAGTGTTTTGGAAAATTTTATGTACAGCCATTAACAAAATACGTAGGAGTTGGGGGGCTGGAAAAAGTCTGGACGTTGGCTGAAAACTAAATAAAAGACTGACTTATCTAAATTGTCCAAAATGGAGGTAGTAATGGTAGGACTGGATTACTGAAGACAGATCAGTGAAATGCCATAAGCATAGGATCACAAAACAGGTATTTTTAGAACAAGTTAAAAAGAAATGTGGTACTATAGAATGAGTAACAAAAGGCCACAGGTTTCAAATGAACTGAGACCAGAAAAATTTAAACAAGAACTTTTTGGACATATTCTTAATATTTCAAGATAAACATCAAAAAGACTAAAGTCTAGAAGTATAATATTCCAAGAAAAAAAGATGGGATGACAAAGAATACTTTTCATTTTGAAGAATATTTTTAAATTGTCCTCAAGTTATCAGCTCTAATTTGCATCTGTACTCACCATGCAATAAACCTTTGAATATAAATTTGGACAATCTTTCTAACATATCTTAACAGACCTGCAACTTCAAAATTTATTCCAGTGCACACATTTTGGTCTCTGTATACATTTAGAAGGGGTCTGGGCTAAGATGACTTCCATACATTGCTATTTCCTCTCCCCACCTCACCTCATTGAATTCAGCACAGTTTTGAAAGATCAGTCTAAAATCAGCTACAAAATCTTCAGGTTTTGTGTACAAGAAATAATCTTCTTGTAGTCTTTTCTTGATAGTTGACAAGTCCATTGGATTTTTAATTATTTTGTAATAATCAGGCACCTTCAAAATAAATGAGATGTTATAATACAATAACTGACTTCTACCTGGTCCTAAATACACTGTATAAGAAGGGATATAAAATTGAGATTGTTTTCATTGCTCTTCTCTATACCATTTTGTCACTGGTAAAAAAACCTACACAGTAACACACTACTGCATTCTACACATTAGGAAATGTTCTGTCACTTTTTCCAAAAAATTTAACCAATATTTTTATGAAAAACTATTTTCACATATTCCCTCTTGAACCTTCTCTTCTCTATTCTCTTTTTTATTAAGCAAATAACAATTTCTAGAGAATTACTAGCTGAATGGCATGATTTTACTGCATACCATTATAGCAAGTGGTAAAGAAGGGTTTAATCCCCAGCTTGTGGCTTAGTGGTATGATCCTGCATAAGTTACTTGACCTCAAAGAAACCTCAATTCTTCATATTCCAAATATGGATAAACCTAGCAACCTCATAGGACTGATATGATTATCTGTCTGTCTGTCTATCTATCTCAAGAAAAAGGGGGTTTTACGGTTGCAGCTGTAAGCCAAGATCATAAAAAGCACCAATCTGGTGTCAAAAATTTTAAATCTGTACTGGCATTACAAGCCTTTTTGGGGTACAAAAACCCCATAGTCCTGAAGTATTTATTTCCTTTTTCTATCTTAAGTTCTCAAAAGTCGTTCTCAAGAAAAGAGATGATATTCACTAAACTAGTTTTCTTTGCATTAATTTTTTCAATTTTCTAAATTTTAAAAACAAATTTATTATGTTTAAAAGAAACTTCAGATATCATAGAATATATTTTGGGTAGTGAACCTTTTCCAGCACTCTAAAAGAATGCAACAAAGTCATATCAAACTTTCAATATGAACCTAGTTGAAGCCAATGATTAATATACATACATATCTCCCCTCCTTTTTTAAAAAATGTGTTGGTTAAAAGTTCACTTATTACTTAAGTATAGACCTATAAATCAAAATAAGTACAGAAAATGTGTGTGTGTGGGGTCTTTACCTAAAATGTGAAGTTTTATCCCCAACAGTTTAGAACATATGCCTAAACCTTCTGAGATACAAACAGAAATCATCTGCAAATAGTAGGTAAGCTAGGTGAGATGAAAAGAACGAATACTTGAGAAATGATACTTAAAATGTATCTATTTAGGATCAAAGCATTCCATACGTATAAAAATTTTAAAACTTGGATTAGATGTAAGAAACTATTGAAAAATAGCATAGAAAGTACATTTTCATGAATAAAATTTAAAAAATCATCCTATTGTATAAATATGTACCATTAATACTTACAGTTAGAGGAACAGGGTCTTGAAAAGCCAGGCTCATTTCATGACAGTAAAGAAATAAAAGGAGGCGTTCACACTTCTAAGTAAAAATAAACAAAAATATAACACAACAATAGTCACAGCTTATTTTCCTTAAGCATTTCATAGGTCACCAAGTACCAGATTAACAATTAAAACCTGATGAATACAGGAAAAACACTGAATACTGAAATCTTGCTTTCTTTCCCAATTAGTAACTGTAGTGTTTGATAATTTAGGATATACCTAATGTTTGAGATATTTTGTTCACTGTAATTAAGTGAACAAAAATAGTAGCACTAGAAACCCATTTGAAGTTCTTTACAATGAATTCCACTAATCCAGTTTGGGTACTGTGAATTAGCAATCAATAAAGGAAGACCATATGGCTATTAAGAGATCCAAAGGTGCAGCATTTTCTTTTATGTGTCCATTCTTTTTTGGCAGGGGGTGGGGTGGGGTACTGGAGATTGAACTCAGGGGTACTTGACCACTGAGCAACATCTCCAGCCCTATTTTGTATTTTTTTTTTTTTTTTTAGAGTCAGGATCTGACTTGCTTAGCACCTCAGTTTTGCTGAGGCTGGCTTTGAACTCGTGATCCTCCTGCCTCAGTCTCCAGAGTTGCTGGGATTATAGGCTTGCACCACTGTGCCCTGCTTGTGTGTCCATTCTTAAGGCCCCTTGAAAGCAGATGGTCCCATTGCAGGCTCTGCCACTTCTCTGCTTATGAGTTTATCCTAGTAAACATTAGTGTTGTGAACACTTGTTGTGTAGTGCCAGCAACAAGTGTTTCTGCCCTCTCGTGCATGTCAATTTCCATACTGTTTTCTACTTCATAATTTAGCAAAGGACATTCTTAGCCTAACCTAGTAGCTTTAAATATTAATTACAGATAAATATATAAGCTGGCTTTGATACAAATATAGAACCCACTTGGTGAAAGAACAGAATAATTTCTAGGAATAGAAAAGCCCATCTCAGTGCCAATTCTCAACAAATTCTGAGGAAGAAGACTTATCTATGGTAGAAATGAAACAAAATATTTACTCAAAGTAGACTAGATTTAAAGGCCCAAGATCTATAAAAGAGAAGATATTTATCTTGTTCGGAGACACTATTGTAAGCTTCTATGTTGTGTATGTGCATGTGTTAGTCTGCCTTTAAATATTTAAGATTCCTAATCCTTTTGTTAAAAGAAATTCCTACAGAAAAAAGAAATCAGTTTAAAATTTAATGCACTAACAAAAAGTTGTCTAATACTCTAAGGCTGAGATGCTCAAAGACTTACCCTTTTATCTATTGGTGTTAATTTAACAAGGCCTTCGGTTTTCCTTTTTTCTGAGTTGTGACTGGGAGCATCACAATCATATTCAACTTCTGGCTTAGATAAGTCTCGGCAGAAAGTACAAATCCACTCTCCACTGTTGGGTAAAGGACTTTTGAGTTTCTATTGCATCATGTTTCCCTTTCCCACCTCATCTTACATGCCATCTATGACAGACTTGGCATAAATTTTAATCACTAAGATTTATCCCATACTTACTAGGTACAAAGCACAATGTGGAAAGAGAAAACAGCAGAAATGTAATGCCATGGCCTAAGTCTAGTTAAAGTGTAGTTAAAGAGGCATGAAATTCATACATGCAAAAAAAAAAAAAAAAAAAAAAAAAAAATCTAAAGTAAATAAAAATTTAAAAAAGTAAATAAAAGTAAACAAAATTTCTAAAAAATCTAAAGTAAATAAAAATAAAAATAGGGCTGATATGAGGTGTAATTAGCATTTTTACTCAGAGGATTCAGGATAAAAGAAAAACCCTCGGAAGAATGAAGGAATTTTGGATTGGGCAAGGGCAGGAAGGGACTTGGTGGTAGGAAAGATGGTGGAATGAGATGGACATCATTACTCTAGGTTCATGTATGATTGCACAAATGGTGTGACTCTACACCGTATAAAATTGTCCTCCATTTGTGTACAATGATCGAAATGCATTCTGCTGTCACGTATAACTAATTAGAAAAGAAAAACTCTTGGTATTATTGTTGCAACTGGCAGTTTGAAAGGACTGTTAATATTTTTCCTTATAATGGACTAGGTTTTGAGAGAAGCACAGGGCATAGGAGACATGGTATGGCAAACCTGAGATTACTGTTAGGGATTTTGAGGACATTTGTGACAAGTGAAATTTCATTTAAGTTTTTACACAAAGGTTTTATGTTATAATAATCATTAAAAGTTGATTACTGTTATTATTTTATTATTTTGAAGTGCTAGGGATTGAACCTAGGACTTCAAGCATGCTAACCAAGCACTCTACCACTGAGCCCACCCCAGCCCTGTTGCTTTTATTTATAGTGAAAGAATGTGAAAAGGGAGTACTTTCTTACCTTGGAAAGTTTGTCAATGTGGGCACATGACAAGAAAGATGGAAGACTTTGGGACACTTCTCACAACACAGAAGTTCCCCTCCGTTTTGACAAACTGCACACCAGTCCTCATTGGGGTCATCCTCCTTCCTCGTCTCTCCAACATGAAGAGGCGACTTCTGGGAGGCATCTGACCACTCAGACTTTCCATTTGAGGAACTTTCCTGGTGGAGTCCAGGCTGATCTCCTGTGCTATCAGGGGCATCGGATCTTAACACAGTTTCCTCAGAAGCAGAGTTCTGACTGCTATTTAAGAGTAGGGAAGTAAGTATGCTTCTTGGATAGTTCGTCTGCAATGAGAGAATACAGAAAAAAAAATACACATATGCATGTATATACATATATATACACACAAATGTATTTTATTTTGAAATTGGCATTTTTGCATTATATATGTATATATGATTTTTTTTTACCACATATATGTATGTGTAAATATACATACACACACACATGAATGTTTTTTCAAAGTGGCTTTTTTGTATTAGCACAACTTCAGTTTTGGACTATAGACTACTCTCATGGGCACCTGGTGAGTACCTGTGAGAATAGGACATGTTTACCACTAACTGTATTAGTCTCTAATGAGTGGATAATGGGCATAAGGGAAGTGGATAACAGTCTGCTGATGGCTAAAGAAATTAGAGACTAGGTGAGTACTGTGAAAGAATCACATGAACTGTAAATATAATGTAACTTTTTGGAGCTGTTACTTCAAATTATACCTAAGACACAAAAATTATACCTCTAAGACGATTCTAAATTTTGTGTTGGATCCTAGGATAGTGCAGATTTCTGATCAATGTTCTCTCTTTTAAATGTTTTTCTAAAATTTCAAAGTAATAAATGTATATATAGTTAACAGAACTCATTCCTTGGAGGCAACAATTTTCAAATTTATCTTTTTTCCCCCCTGAATTTACATTAGTTATTTCATTTTGTTGTTGATTTTTGAGATAGGGTCTTGTTATTTTGCCCAGGGTGGCCTTGAACTTCCATTTCTCCTGCCTCTGTCTAGGCACACACTACTGTACCCAGCTTACCACATTTCTAAATAAAATGCTCTACGACAATTTCTTGCATTTCAATTTTTTTTTTTTGTAATACTGGGGATTGAACCCAGAGGGGCTTTACAACTGAGCTACAACACCAGCCCCTCCCCCTCAACATTTTGAGACAGGGTTTCACTAGATTATAGGGTGCCACTGTGCCTCTTAACAGTTTTTACTAAGCATCGCTTTATTGCTTTTTCAGTTGGTAGAAGCCAGTATAAATGTTTATAGCTAGCATCTACTCCAAATGATCTATCATAATTGGCTAAATATTCTGAGATTCAGAATTTTTGCTAAGTGTAAATTCAGATTATATTTTGATTATATCAGTTTTTAGGTACTACTATATTCAGGTGTTTGTTTCGTCATTGTGATTAAGTAAATATTGTTCTGGGGAACCACAAAATGTACTATTGACTATATTCTCTTATACTTTTTGTTTTTACTAGGAGTTGGTTATTACTTTTTTTTTTTTTCATTTGCTATTTTTCTAGGCACCCATCTCTATGCCAATCTCTGTAGGGTAGATGCTTTAATACACTTCAAACATTTTTCTCCCTTTAGATACACCCCTGTGGAGTCTTCTGTCCTTTTGCTATAGACTGTTCTGCAGGAGCTACTATACTAAAGACTATGCTTTTTTTTTCTTTTTTTCTTTTTACCCCCTAAGTATGAGTAGTATTGCAAGCACTGATGTAATTACATTTTGAGGCCTAGATTCTTCATCTGATTCTTGTTTAACTATAACAACAGGGAAATCATAATTTTCGGGTGGTCCACTGTTTTCTTGTTTTATTCGGATTGGCTCCAACATGACCACTGGGACTTTGTGTGTAGAATCAGCTCCTGCTGGTTTGCTGGAAGAGCCAGAGCTATAAAGTATAAAAGGGGGAGAGAAAAAAAAATTAAAAAAAAAAATACTAAAAAATATCACATCAACTACACTACAAAAATAGCACTCTGGAAAAATGCTGTATCTTCACAACAAAAAGTACTTTATATCAGTAATAAATGATGCATAACTGAAATGTAATTGCTATATGAACACATTTCATTTATGATAAAAATGGTTTACATATTGACTTATCCAAATAGTTACATTTTATATATGGAAGGACAAATAGAATATGGCTTAAAACTGACTTCAAAATTCTGAGGGTCTATAAATGGGCAATCAGATTTGGTATCTTTGAAGTAGTATCATTTTGTGAACTTTCTTAGTTCCCTTTCTAGTCAATGATAATGAGAACTTGAGGCTCTCATTAAGAATTTGTTGTCAAAGCGTGAAGACAAGAAATCATTTGTTGGTGTTCTGCTACTTAAAGAAGTTAATTGAACAAAAACCTTGTACAGATAGCCACAATGTTCTCATGAATGTGTCTTTCATTTAAGAAAGTTAAAAACTGGGTTCACTAGGACCAATTTTTAAACATAAAGAGGGGAAGAGTATAAAATATATTAACAATTTATTTTCCATGGGTAAAATAGCAGAATTAATGTTTAATCACTAGAAAAGTCACAGAACACTGAAATTAGTATGAAATTATTATTTCCTTTACATAAAATTTTATGTGGTGCTGTCATACCAATTTTCCTTGTTATTATGATAATATCTTATATATTTTCTTATTGTTAATATAAATATAAAGGTGTACTTAAATATGAAACAAAGGTGTACTTAATCCTTTATTAATATTAAAATCATTAAAATTTTAATTAAAGATAAAGAAGCTGTTCAAAATGCAGTGAGTACTAAAACATACTGACACTGGCAAAAGAAATCTCGTTACAGATTTTATGTATAGTTGCCCTCCATATCCGTGGGTTCCACATCCATGGATTCAACCAACATGTGGATGGGAAATATTTTGAAGAAATAAACTGCATCTATAATGAACATGTATAGACTTTCTTTTTGGTCATAATTCCCTAAACAATACAGTGCAACAACTATTTAAACAGCATTTACATTGTATTAGGTATTATAAGTAATCTAACGATAATTTAAAGTACACAGGAGGATACATGTAGTTTATATGCAAATACTATGCCATTTTATTTAAGAGACTTGAGTATCTGCAGATTTTAGTATCCTCAGGAGGATCCTGGAAACAATTTATCATGGATACTGAGGGACAACTGCACTAGAGAATATGGTTAAGTCTATTTACCTTCCTCGGCTCCCAACGCTGGAGGCACTAGGTGAACGTATTGGGGGGTGGACACTAGTCATAGTAACAGGTCCTAAGGAGGGGAAATCATACACATTCATAAATGAATTGATAATTAAGTATTGAAGTCCTGTTTAACATGCTCACTTGGCACCACAATGAAACTGGGAACATGCAACAAAATTCGATGAAACAATAAGCACTTGACAAAATCCAAGAGTAGTCTTTTATGTCTTATTAGAGCAAGATCTTTAACCTCGGCACTATTGACTTTGGGCAACAGAATTTTTTGTTGTCAGGGAATGATTTTGCTTTACAGGATGTTTTGCAGCATCTCTGGCCTATACAAGTTATGAATTGCTAGTAGCAACTCTCCACATGTTACAACTTGGAGTGTGACAAAAATAAATTTCTCCAAAACAAGTATGGTAGCACATACCTATAATTCCAGCTACTCCAGAAGGCTGAGGCAAGAGGATTGCCAAGTTTAATGATAGAGTGTTTGCCTTGCTTGTTTGTATATGCAAAGCCAGGGGCATTTTAACACTGAGCTATGTCCCAGCCCTTTTTCAAATTTTCAAATTTTGAGACAGGGTCTCCCTAAGATGCTGAAATGGCCTCAAACTTGCAATCCTCTGCCTCAGACTCCCGAGTAGTGATTACAGGTGTGCTACTGCACCTGGCAAAGAACAAACATTTTTGTTTAATATGTTTTATTGGCCATATGTATTGCCTCTTTACAGAATTATCTATTCACAAGTCCTTATTTATTTGTATAAACTTGTCATGTGGTAAATAATTTCTCTGCTATAATTTATCTTAAGTTTATTAGTTTAAAATAGGTATCTCCATTTAGATTCTGTAACTGTCTTATATTCATGTGACTGGTGAAAGAATAATAGATTCTTCATTTCAGTTTAAAACACCCATTATGCCTAGGTCTCTAGGAGTAGTAATAGAGGGTTTTGCTCTCAGAAGAAATGAGTAGATATATTATTCTTTTTTTTCTTTCTTTCTTTTTTTGGTACCAGGGATTGAACTCAGGGGCACTTGACCACTGAGCCACGTCCCCAGCCCTGTTTTGTATTTTATTTAGAGTCAGGGTCTCACTGAGTTACTTAGCACCTTGCTTTTGCTGAGGCAGGCTTTGAACTCATGATCCTCCTGCCTTAGCCTCCTGAGCCACTGGTATTACAGGCGTGCGTCACCATACCCGGCAAAATTAAATATTCTCAAACACAAAAAACCCACCAAAAGACTGAGGCTGCTCTATGTGTCATCACTAGGAAATTTTAATGGGCAAATCACATCCTAAAGAAGATCACATCACGTACAACTTAATTTATTAATAAGTACAATATTAATTTTCTCCAAGAAGTGCTATAATGCCTATAAATTTTATTGAAATTGAGAATATAAAGACGTTTCACATTTGCTTCCTTCATTGTAAGTATACTAATTTTAGATAGTACAAAACAAAACAAAACCACAGCTATATCTTAATCCTTCATCAAAAAAGGGGTGAAGGGGGCTGGGGTTATAGCTCAGTGGCAGAGCACTTGCCTAGCATATGTGAGGCACTGGGTTCAATCCTTAGCACCATATGAAAATAAACAAATAAAATAAAGGCATCCTGTCCATCTATAACTATTTATATATATTAAAAAAAGGGGGAGGAGGTGAAGTAATTTTAAATCCTTAAGAATAAAAACTAGAAAGACAATTATAAAATCAAAAAATGTATATTTTACCTGCAAGGCCTGGAGATGGCACTGATGAATTTGGTGATTGCACAGTTCTGTTTGAGGGTGGTCTTGGCTGGCCATGATCTATGGTACCTTCTTTCCTCACCATATTGTCTAGCATAATAGTACTTGAGCAATCAATCTTATAAGAAAAGAAATTATTTCTGGGCAAACTGCTCTTGCAAGATAAAAGCAAAGTTTATAAGAAAACTTCAATAACAATTACTATCAAACAATAAGACACATGAATATAACATTTGAGAAGTTCTGATTGATAGTTCTCCCATAAACAATCCCAAATAAAAATTTTCACGCTTTTTACTATTCTACCTTGGCAAATAACTGAGGATATACTATTGTCCTCAGTTATACCAGGAGTTGGTATGAGAAAAAAGTAATATCATGTGTGATTCACACTTTAAAAAATAGCACAATTTTATATTATTGCAAATCTCTTTAATATCTGCTTTAAAAGTGATGAAACAGGTTCTTGTATCTGCTTCTGCATTCAATCAGTTGTGATTTGTGGTTTTGGTTGAAGAATATGAGAAAATCTGGTCTCAGACAGGACTTTGAGGATGCTCAGAGTTATAGTCTGTGGCCGTTTAAGTCTGTGGCCCTCAATTTAACAAGTGATATTCTGAGTACGTACCACAGAGATAAAATAAGTCTACATATCACATAGTTCTAGAGCACCAGGCTCACTAAGTACACTACTATTTTTTTAGGAACAACAAAACAAAACAAAAAGCATTCCCTTTAATGCAACAGATAATTAACACTGCTTTCCTAATCCTTTACCAGACTAAATACTGATAAATTTCTAATTAAGAGTTTAATGCTTTAGATGCAAATATTCTTCCTGCCTAAACACACCAAATTTCCCAAGAATGTTTTTGTGATTTAAATCCAGTTCAATTCTCTAACAGTTCCAACTTTTCTTAGAATTCTACAAGGGAATATAAGGGCATAGATTGTATAATTAATTAATTTGCTTCTGCACCTAGAATAGTGCAAATTGTGAAGCATCCTTGGTAGAATTAAGAAAATAGTCACTCCAACTCAAGTGAGGTACTTCAGTTGCCCAAGACTAGTACACAAAGGGCCACCTGTATGAGGAATGCAGAGGAAAAGACGGAAGGACAATTTTACTTCCTGAGATCTGCATTCCTTGGGGGAGAAAAGATGGGTACCTCAGGTCTTTCATATTTTAATATTCTTTTGGCAATACCTTGGCCAATACTTTTCAGACAGAGCAAGAAGACCAGAATGACTGAATTTGTTGTATCTTTAACAAAAGGAAAGTCATTTACATTGTGTAGTAATCCTAAAAGCTAAATAAAACAGTGGAAATTAGAAAAGTGAAAATAAAAGAATCAACTTATATGGCAGCGATCTATCTACAGAATATTGAAAATATTTTTTTTAAAATGTATACTGATCAAAGTTAAGAGCTTAGAGAGTGAATATATTAAATATAAAGCAAGTCAGAGGAAATTTTGCACTGTTCAGCAGAAAATATTTTGATTTCTATTACTAAACTTGTCTTGTCTCATCTGATGTCTTAATATATAACATCCATCTCTAGCTACCCTTGTTTTAATATACCATATCCCAGACATTCAACTTGCCAGTCTTTCTTCTTATATCTTTACTTTTCTCCTTTCCCAGCTTTGATTCCATTATCATTGTTATCAATCATTTACAAACACCTTTGACTGCAGTGCCCTGAAAGGCATTCTGTTGTATAAATGTTCACAACTTTTATTAACCGCTGTTATAATATTTTTAAGAAATAAACTAACTTCTAAAAACAAAACAACCTATAATCCAAACATATGCCAGTTACTGAATCCAAATTAACTGGCAATTTCCAAAAGAGGATGTTGATATAAATTTTCTGTGTATACTTACATCTGGAAGAGAAGGAAGATTGTAAGAACCTCCCACTGGTGAGCTCAAATCGATCATGGGTGAACCAAAAGTCTTTCCATCGTATCCTGCTGCACTAGTGATGGTAGGGCTGGAGGGAGTGGAGGACGTGCTGCTGGCAGTTGATGGGGTGGCCTGTCCACTGCTGATCTGCCACTACAGAAGAGAAGAAAACGGACTATTGATAGATAGGCCTACAACATGACATGTACTGATCACTCTGACACAAAATGAAGTAAAAGACACATTCTGGTGTTTGAATTCACATGTAATGTTCTTTTGCCCCCACATTTTTATTGGTGCATTGTAGTTGTACATACTTATGGGATTTGTTGTTACACATTCATACATGCATACCTGTTGAGAGCCACAGCCAAGGGGCCCCAGCAAACTTCTAGCTGCCAGCACCACCAGCTGCCATCTGATGATTGGCTCACAGTGGCCCCAGCAGAAGGGGCCCCAGCAAACTTCCAGCTGCCAGCTGGGGATTGGCTCACAGCGGCCCCAGCAAACTTCTAGCTGCCAACTGATTGGCTCCTCTGCGGTGATGTTCATTGGGTTGTTTCCCCGCCCTTTCAGACCACGGAGCTGCTCATTAGGGGACTTTTTTGGCTCCAGCCATGCGACCCAGCCAATTGGCCTCAAGAGCAGGAAGAGTGGGGGAGGTGGAGAGGCTTGTGGGAAGCCGGTGGTGGCAGTTGGGCTCTGAGGATTTTCTTGAAGAGCTGTGTGGTGCCGTGTGTGTGTGTGTGTGTGTGTGTGTGTGTGTGTGTGTGTGTGTTTTCTAAAAATAAAGTTCGTTTCTTTTGACAAGTGGCTCCTGAATTGTGCCCAGCCAGACTGTGGCACACACCAATAAACAATATTATAATTTGGCTAGTATCACTCCCCAGCACTTCCCCTCCCAGCCCCCCACATCTTGGTCCCTTTTCTCTACTGATCTCCCTTTGATCTGCCCCGTTTTTCTTTTCTTTTTCCTCTCTAGCCATCACATGAGAGAAAACACAGGACCCTTAACTTTCTGATTTTGACTTATTTCACTTAACATGGTCTCTATTACCATCCATTTTTCCTGCAAATGGACATTTTATTTATGGCTGAATAAAACTCCAGTGTGTATTTCTTTATCCATCATCTGTTGATGGACACCCAGGCTGGCCCCATAGCTTGGTTACTGGGAAATGTGCTGCTAGAAACATGGGTTTAATTTTTCAGGGTGAATACTGACAAGTGGTATAGCTGGGTCATATGATGGTTCCATGCCTAGTTGCCGCAGTCTGGCTGGGCACAAATCACTGAGCCGCCACAAAAGCAACAGGAAACTTTACTGCCAGAACTCCACCAGCACTCCATGCACACTCCCCGGGAACTCCCCCAGCTCTCCACCCGGCTCCACCCCAACTCTCTCAGAACCTGAGAGAACTCAATGGGAACTCCAAAGTAATGGGCGCCTGAGGCAGCAAGAGCCGCCCTATTGCAAAGCAATAGGTCTAATTGAAAGCAAAGGTCTAATATACAACTGAATACACAGCTTAACTAACCATCATCATCTCAATGGCTCGATGGCGTCACCTTTCAACCATTCCCTCTGGCAAAATGCCAGGCATCATTCCGACTGGGCTGTGGCCCTCAACACCTAGTCTTTTGGGGAACCTCCATACTGACTACAATCTCATCAATAGTGTAGAAGTGATCCTTTTTCTTTTGTTTTTTTTTTTTTTTCACATCCCCAACCCTTTTTATATTTTATTTAGAGACAGGGTCTTGCTGAGTTGCTTTATGACCTCACTAGTTGCCAAGGTTCGCTTTGAATTCGTGATTCTCTTGCCTAAGCTTCCCATTTTCATTTCTTATTCAATTCTAAAGGATAATTTTGCTGGATGTAGTAATCTTGGTTGCCACCTGTTTTCTTTCAGAGCTTGGTATATATCAATTCAAGCCCTCCTGATCCTTTTTCTTCACATCCTCTTCAGCATTTATTATTATTGCATAATTGATGACAACCATTCAGAGTGGCATGAGATCAAATCTCAGTGTAGTGTTGATTTGCATTTCCCAAATTGATAATGATGTTAAACATTCTTTCATAGATTTGTTGGCCATTTGTATTCCTTTTGAGATATGTTTAATTCATTTGCCCAATTATCAATTAGGTTATTTGACTTTTTGGTGTAAAATTTTTGAGCTTTTTATACATTCTGGATATTAATCCTCTGTCAGAAGACTAGTTAGCAAAGATTTTTCTCCCATTCTGTAGGTTGTCTCTTCACATTCCTAATTGTTTCCTTTGCTTTTAAATTTGATGCCATACCACTTAGTAACACTTGGTATATGAACTTTAAGAGTTCTACTGAGAAAATCATTGCCTGTGCCTCTATGCTGGAGTGTTGGCCCTACATTTTCTTCCAAAAGTTGTATAGTTTCTGGTCTAATTCCTAGGTTTTTGATCCATTTTGAGTTGATTTTGGGGCAGGGTGAGATAAGGTTCTAGTCTCATTCTTTTACACATAGATAACTAGTTTTCCCAGTACCATTTTTTAAAATGGCAGTCTTTTCTCCCATGTATACTTTGGCACCTTTATCAAGGATCAATGGCTATAGGTGTATGGGCTTGTTTCTGTGTCTTCTACTCTGTTGACTGGTCTGTGTTGTCTGTTTTTAGGCCAGTACCATGCATTTTCTTTTTTTTTTTTTGTTACTATAGTTCTTTAGTATAATTTGAAGTCAGGTATTGTGATGCCTCCAGCATTGCTTTTTTGGCTTAGAATTGCTTTGGCTATTTGGGTCTTTTATTCTATTTTTTTTTTTTTTAACATTTATTTTTTACTTATAGGTGGACACAATACTTTTATTTTTACGTGGTGCTGAGGATTGAACCCAGTGCCTCATGCATGCTAGACGAGCTCTCTACCTCTGAGCCTCAACCCCAGTCCGGGTCTTTTATGCTTCCAAGTGAATTTTAGGATTGTTTTTTCTAGTTCTGTGAAGGTCATTGATATTTTTAATGGGAATTGCATTGAATCTGTATATTGCTTTTGATAGTATGGCCATTTTAACAATATTAATTCTGCCTATCCATGAACCTGAGAGGTTTTTCCATCTTGTTTCTTCTTCAATGTTCTGTAGTTTCCATTGTAGAGGTCATTCACCTCCTTGATTAGATTTATTCCTAGATATTTTATTTTGAGGCTAATGTGAATGGAATTGTTCTAATAATTTTGCTGGACATAGCAGTTTTTGTTGACAGATTTTTTTTTTTTTTTCAGGACTTAGAATGCATCATTTCAAGCCCTCCTGGCCTTTAGAGTTTGTGCTAAGAAATCAAAAATGATTCTTAAAGGCTTACCTGTAAATGTGACTTGACATTTTTCTCTTAAAAGCTTTTAAAACTCTATCCTTGTTCTCTGTGTTATACATTTTAATTATAATGTGTAGTGGAGAGGTTCTTGGATCTTTTCTCTTTGGGATTCTAAGTGCCTCCTGTATCTGGGTGTCTATCTCATTAAATATGCTGATGATATAGCAAGGACAATCTGATTATACATACAAACATATAGACACACAGAGCATGAACTTCTCAAATAAAAATTTCAAATGATTGGATTAAAATGAATGTCATAGGGTTGGGCATATAGCTCAGCTGGTAGAGTGCTTGCTTGGCATGCATAAAGCCCTGGGGTTCAATCCCCAGCATCACACACAAAAAAGTCCTAAAATTATGGGATAAACATCATCTTTATTTTGGTCTTGATGAACAAATTAAACCAAAATCACTTCATAAGCTTTTAGCTAAAAAGGCCATTGACACTGAGATGGTTTTTATTTTAGCATAAAAATTTTAGAAAACATTTTGATCCAAAGACATCAAGAATATAAATAATAAACCACATCATATCTAATGTATAATGCTAAATTTTACATTTAACAGATGTATATATATTCTATATTAAAATTGTGCTATAACTAAATTTGTTTTCAGGAAATCTTGAAACACTTTCTCTGTGGACTATAACTAGGATTTGTTATTTTTATATATATATATATTTTAAATTTTTTTAATTGTCACTGGACTTTGTTTATTTATATGCAGTGCTGAGAATCAAACCCAGTGCCTCACACTCACACATGCTAGGCAAGCACTCTAACACTGAGCCACAATCCCGAAACATATTTGTTATATTTTTGTTGGAAAATATAATGTGCTCATCTAAATGTTGTATATACTGGTATTGCAAAAAATGTAATACCAAGAACTCTTTGATTGTACAGGGCATTTACTGCTATAGCAGTGGTTTGATTTCTTTTGTTGATTACAAACAACAAGACCCTTTCTCTTAAGCTTGTCTCCATAGGTTTGTCTGTAATAAATTTTATAATTGGCATTCATTAAAAAAAAAAGCAAGCTTGCTCTTACTCTTCAGAGGCTGTGAAAAACCAGCCTCTATCTCAGAGCAAAGCTGTCCAAGGAAGGGACATGGCCTTTGTCCTTGGAAAAACCCACAGAGCACTCCTAGGCACATTCCCACCCTGCTAAGTTGTTTATCTACAGGAGAGATCTGCTGCGCCAGGTGTCCCTGACTCAGTCAGGCTAGGTGGGAATCCATAGCAGCCCCCTAGCAGCCACCAATCAGCATGAGACAGGGAAATACCTGGGATGCCAGATAACCCTCCCAGTAGTTTATGGTAGTTGATAACCTGTTGGGAAACCATGTAGTTCAGCACGTACACCCATCTTGGCTTAAACCAATCAGTTCAAACGAATACCCCTTTTGTACTGATCAATCACCCCTACCTAACTTGTTCCCGCCAGTGAATGTGCTAATCATGTTTTAGAGTTGTTGTTTGATTTTCCCGCGACGTGAGGTGATTTGTTATGCTGTATGTGAAGTCCCTGCCCTTTTCAAAGAATGTATATAAGCTCTGCTCAAGCTGTTCTTGGGGCTCTTTGCTCTTTACCTCTTCAAGGTAGGCATGGAGCCCCAGCATGCTGGACCCCCAATAAACCCTTTGCTGTTGCATGAGACAGTCTCTTGGTGGTCTTTTCCTCCGACGTTCGCCTGACCTTTACATCTGTTGCTTAATTTATAAATTCAATGTAATTTGAAAATAAAATGAAGCAGAATCAGCAACTGAGGAGAGCAAGTACACATACCTGTTTTATGGCTTGTTGAGCCAAGAAAGCCATCTGCAGGGGGTTGGGCTTTACTGCTGGTCGTGGGATATTCTGGGTTGGTGGATATCTCAGCTGTTGAGGATGAGGGGGAAGAACTGGTCCATTAGGTTTAGGGCTGTGATTCTGAAAGTTTATCAAACGTGGAGGGGGTTGCTAGAAAAAATAAATAAGACCACTTCAGTAACAGCCATCTCCATAAAGACAAGTTAGATCTCTATTTCAACAAAACTTTTGAAGAAAGACAAAAACTCTTCCATAGATGAATCCACTCATTTAGATTACAAAAAGGAAATGGGGAGGGGGGATGACAGGTAGAATTTCAGAATTTGTGTAACTGATTTCTGAAAAGAGTTTTATTAGAAAAGAATCTTGGGAAGAGAGTTGCCAACTAATTTGTAAGTGGCTATAGTAATGGACCTTGGTCATGTTGTGAAGTAGGCAAAGGTGTTTTGGGTATCCTTCCTTCTTCAAACCAAGTGATGGTAGAATAATAATTGCTAACAGTTATTGAATGTTTGTTACGTGCCAGGCATTGCTTTAAATGCTTCACATTATATTAACTCATTTTTCTTAACAATTCTATGAGAAAGGCATAATCTCTATTTTATATAAGAAAACTAAGGCATAAAGAATTTAAGTAACTTGTGTTTGACAAGTAGTCTGACTTGAAGGTCTGTACTCTTAACCAACAAATCATTAAGAAAATAGTTGATATTAATAACATTTAAAAAATTAATGAATTCTAGATCTCACTGAACTCTAGCTACATGGCAGGCATTTTACTTATGTCATTGAGGTATATGAGGTAGGTATTTTTATCTTTATTTTTCAAATCAGAAAAGTATAGATCAGAAAGCTTAGATAACTTAAAAAAAGACACACAGCTAGTAAAAGGCAGTACCCAAAGCGTTACCTTAAATCTAGTTTGCTATATCACTACCAAAACATGTTTTAGTGTTCTGTTGGCTGTTGATTAAGACTGACTAATTATAGTTAAGAGAGGATGAGACTACCTAAAAAAATAAATTTTGAAAAGTAACCCTCCAAAGGAAAGATTGATTACAGGAAGGCTAGGTGAGGATATCTGAGATTAGGCAAGAGTTATGAAGGCAAGTCTGCACTGTCTTCTCCATAAATGTTAGTTCTGGAGAATAAGACTAGAGTTTTGGAAAAAGAGGACATTCTATGTGAGTATCCTCTTGGTCATCCAATTCTCCCTATATTTTGGCAACTTACAGAAAAAGAAATACTTCTTTTCAAGATAGCTTAAACAAATGTGATCAGAATTGCTCTGAGAGGTGACTATATCTTTATACATTCACAGGGAGACAAATCAATGCAGGATCTAGAAGGTTGAGGTGGCAGCACCTCAAATTGACACTGTGAAGGCACACACAGCTATAAAGTATATCCCTGCCCTCTTTTTTCTTCCTTTTCCTCACATTTTTGGAATTTACTCTTCAGCCTGGATTAATTCCTTCCCTCTTATCTCTCTAAAATATTTGGTGTTAGGTTCACTTTCATTTAATAGTGGCCAGTAATTATAGACCCAGTGAAAAATAGATTTAATTTCTGGATCAAGTGAAACTTTATAGGCAAAGAATAGAAAAACAATATTAGAGAAAAATATACAACTTTGAAACTTAACAGAATCATAAGCCTGAGGCTACAGCCATTCTTTTTGGTTTTCCTATAAAAGTTTTATGAAGTGTTTTATATCACTGAAGCACAAAAAGAAAATAGTTGAGAAATCATAGTGGAAACATTGGAAAAATTTTAAACTTACCAAAAGAATAATTTTTTTTTTAAACAAGTGAGAAAATACCAAAACAGTCCTTAAGGTAGAATAAAGATAGTGCTATGCATTTTTTAGCATCCTAGTCTCACTCTCTCCCAGATTGATATTTATGTAATGATTCAACTAAATAATAACAACTGATGCCAGAGTAGCGTGCTATGGCCTGTAAGCAATCTGTAGAACTGGATGTCGACCCTGCCATCCACGAGCTTACAGGCGTATAAGAAGGTGATGTTTTCACCTTCTCCTAAACTGCTAAAGTGATGGAGCTAATTTATAAGAATCCTGTGACGGGGGAAGTGTCTTGAAAGAATATTAGAAACCAGTTACAATCTTAAAAGAAATAGAAAGACTAGTAATATTTTGGTTAAGTGGAATCATTTAATTTTCAAGACAGAGAAAAATAATTGAAGATAATAATTGAGAATAGAGAAATAACTGAAAGTTAAACGGACAGAACCTTAATCACAGCGAGAATTACTACTATGATTTATGTATAAAATGATGTGACAGTGTTCTGTAATAAGTAGATCTGATCACTAAAGTTTAATGGAGTATACTATACAGTGCCAAATAAACACAGTTTATTACATTTGCACTACTTAATCATATAATTGTTCTATCTCTGCTATTACTCAACTCTTGAACCATGCAGATGACATGGTTAATCTTCAGAGAAAGAATTAGGAAACTACTACGTGATTTCAGAAGCAGTCCTTTACCTGAATATATGGGCAGATATATATAATTTGCATAATCCTAACAGAGGAAGAGGCACGTGGGCAAATAAACTAGTTTATGTAAATAAACTAGTATAAAACTGAGAATAAAGTGGGTAGAACAGAGTACAAGTTTATAGAAGAGAGTAAACTAATGAGTGAAAAATGTAGGGGTTTTTGGCAGACAGCAGATAAAGAGATTAGAGTGTGAAAAAGGTCTAGGAGGCACAGAGAGTAGAGAAAACAAAATGACAGGGTATAAGGACTACAAACATATGAAAAGTATTTCTAAGTGGGAAAATTAGATTATATAATAGAGACTGTACATTATACATAGTACTAAATCCTAGAGACTGAAAATAAGATCCAAAGCAAATTTCTGAGGAAAGCAAGCTAACAGGTCAAAGGTCAATTCAGTTTTGTCACTGCTTATATAAATTTATAAACTCTTTTCACATAGACTCTATTAACTGCCTCATTACTTACTTTTTAGTGAAAGGCAATTAAATGAATTGATGGATCCAACCCTTTTGTTAATAAGCAATTAAATAAATTCTACCATCTCTCAGACATTTCAATATTAATATAAGCAAATGCTTAGCACAGGCACAACAGATTTAATTCTCTTTCTTTGTACATTTAACTTCAGAAAAATTTTAGTATTCTTTCTAGTCTATTTATGTCATTCTGATTTCAATTTTCTTAATAAAAATTCAACTCTGCCATGGATGCTCGAAGTATCTAAAACATACAATTCTCTTCCCCCTTGAAGCACTTCACCAAAGATCTTTCAAATTGTTTGCTACTTTCTTTCTGTAAAAACTGGTTGAAACAAAGTTTTAAGTAGGCATATTATTATTTTCCTAGATTTCATATGCCTTCTTAATTAAATTAATAGAAAGCCATAAACTTCAAGTATATTATCTTACGCCATTACAGAAATGACAACAAAATCCGGGTCTAACTGGGGATATAGTAGGGGATAGTGGTGAATCTCAGTGGTATAGTATGTGCTTAGCATGTGCAAGGCCCTGGGTTCCATCCCCGTATACCTATTTCACAAGAATAGGCTCTACATATGCCCACAACCTCTATTGAGGGTTGAAGAGTCCTACAAAAAAACATTCCTATGTTGTGTAAAATTGTTACAAGAAAATTATGCTTAATTTAGTTGCTTTTTTCATAGACAACCACTTCATATATTCTACTAGTAAAATACTAGTAAAACTTTCTCACCCCTATTTAATTGGCATGTTTCCTTTTATTTGATAGTGATATCTTATTATTCCTGTCTTCTTTCATTGTTAAGAAATTCTGAGTTAAATGTTATTCCTAAGTATAATAAGAATTCCTAGCCAAGGTTTTTATACTTTGACTCTTATTAAATTCCATTCTATTACATTTGTGTCATGTACCAAAATCACTTCAAATCCTTTGTGGAAACAGAAACAACATAAATTCATTTTAAAAAGTAACTGAAAACAAGAGTTTATATGAAATACACTTTAAATCCTATTAAATCTTTATTAATCTAACCTGAACAGGATTGTTTATTTAACAAAAGTATATCAACCTTTTATCCTCAAAACATGGATTGAAAATTAACAGAATACTTCAATATCTAGTTAAAAATGGTCAATGGAATATTTGTTCAGATAGAAGTTTGAAAAAGGTTAAAATTTTAATGAACCACACTCCTGCATTTTTCTATTTTGTATTTCATTTTGCCCTATTTTCTAAGATACAATATGGTTTGCTAAATACTGGCACCCCCAAAGAGAACAGATTTTTTTAAAAAATATTTTTTAGTTGTAGTTGGACACAATACCTTTATTTTACTTATTCATTTTTATGTGGTGCTGAGCATCAAACCCAGGACCTCGCCTATGCTAGGCAAGTGCTCTACTGCTGAGCCACATCCCCAGCCCAAGAACAGATTCTTAAAAGTACTCATCTTTCTGAAGCACTAATAAAGGAATTACAGTTACTCGGGTTTTCCCATCAATCATAGGCATAGGTTATTTAGGAATACAAACACTTAACCCTGCTAAAATTTAAAGACAAGAAACAATAGATGAAAATAAATGTGCCAATTAAATAAATCATTAAATCTTTTTTGAGTAGAACTAAAGACTAAGTGTTAAATCAGGGATCCTTAATGTGGTAAAATTTTATAAATCCACATATTTAAATTAAGGATGATGGATATCTTGGCTATATGAAGAGCTGCTGAACACAATCATACTACAGTTATCTAAGTTAGGACAGGCCTGCTTCCAAATTTACCTGATGAGAGATGGAAGGTTGCTGGATGGGCCCCTGCATTCTAGGGTTTGGTAAACCCACAGGTGCTGGCCTCCGTTGCACCTGTTGCCTCTGAGCCATTACCTGTTGCTGCATATGCTGGAGTCGTAATTGAGCTAGGCTGATCTGTGTTGGAAACTTGGATAACTGGTTTGAAGATAAACCACCTGGTGGCTGTGAATTCTGTTCCACGACAGGATTCTGCTTAGGCATTTGTGGTTGACTCTCTTTATCTTCGATTACTAAAGAACCTAATTAAAGAGAAAAGAGCAAGGGATAAAGTTTTTTGATAATTGGTGAGATACAACATTTTGAATGGCTACTTTTGATGAACTTTAATTGCTAAGGAGATTTTTGGTCTCTTCATACTCTTAAAAAAAATAGAGGACCCCAAAGAACTTTTGTTTATGTAGGCTCTATTATCAAAATTTACTATGTAAGAAACGTAAAATGAAAATGTTAAAAAAAATCCACTAATCCATTTTAAAATAACAATAAACCAATAACATATTTTTATGAAAAAAAATGCTTACAAAGGTTTTTAATGAAGTATGCATTGTTTTACACTTTTGAAGATCTAAGCATCTAGCTTAATAGGTGAACTTCATATCTGTTTTTGCATTATCTGTCGTAATATATTGACTAAATTAAATATATGAAGAAATTTGTTCTCACAGACATATAGTTGGAAAAGGGAGGCCATTTTTAGAACTATTATAAATCAAAACAAGCAAATCTGATATTGGCTCTAAAAACCAATCCCACAAAGTATTTGATTTTTTAGTATTAACTATTTGTAATCTCAAGTTTCTTATACCTTTACAGTATATACTACATTAACTCCATAACAGAAAACTGGTTTGCAACTATAGTTTTAAAGGTGTCTCATAGATTTGATTCAAGCTTTATTTCTTTAACAGTAGATATTCAAATGTTTCTGATTCACGAAGCACCCACATCTAAAAACAAATTGTAGCTAAGCTGGGCACAGTGGCACATGCCTATAATCCCTTGGGAGGCTGAGTCAGGGCTAGTTTGAGGTCAGCCTTGGCAACTTAATGAGACTGTCAAAAAATAAAAAGGATTGGGAATGTAGCTCAGTGGTAGAGTTCATGTTCCCTCCTCAGTGCCACCAAAAAAGATGAATAAATAAACAAAATTAATTTTTAAAAGTATAGCTATCATTTATTAAATACTTACTGTGTGTTTGGCACTGTGACAGGTAGTCACATATAGGTAAAAAATCTCACATATATGTAAAAAAAAACTCATCCAAAGTTATCAAAATATTAACCAAATATTCATCTAATCAATATTTTCCTCTGGCACTCATTCATAAAATGTTTCTCAGAAGCCATGGATAAACAAGTTTGGAAAACTTCTTTTCTTGTGCTAAATAAACTGACCAAGCTGTAAATGACAGCTCTGATAATTTCTACAGTAAAGGATACTTTATTATATCAGAGTTTCACAAACTAACAAAGATATCATGGTTTTGTTTTTGCTATGTAGATTTATCTAAAACTATATCCTTTTATATGCACAGTTTTAAGCCTAATTCCTAAATGTAGCTATTTCTACATGTGGGTGTTTTACATGTTATGTTTTAAGTGCAGAGACGTCTATACATGTGATGACTTCTAACTTGTGATAGGTTCTCAGTACAGAGGCACGTGTTGTGGTAGTGCAGGCTGTGGTGAGGAAGACAGCTACTCACATACATGCTCTATATAGCTGCTTCTTTCTAGCAAGGCAGTGAAAAGTGTGGATGATTCCAGTTGCCTACTATATTATTAATATGTGTAAGGCCACAGATACTGCTAAGAGTGGCCTGCAGGAGTCTCTTTATCACCTCTTATTCAAGGATTCTTTTTGTTCTTCCCTTGTAAGGATAAGATTTGTGTAAGCCTGTTTCTTCCTTGCCTACCATGTTCTGACAGCACTGGCTTTTTCTCCATTTTTTTTTTTTTTTTCTCCTTTCCTACAAAGAATTTAGCCTTGGGGATGAGAGAGCAACCATCTTTGATGATTCTGAAACAAAGTCAAGGAACTAAAAAAAGCATCACTGAAGGGAATACTGGCTGTTGATGAATAATGTATAGGGAATTCTTACATTTTTGTTTGTGTAGTTTCCCGGTGAGAAATTAAGAAAGGAGGCAAAAAAGACTATTTCTACTCAGCAAATAGCATAACAAGAAAGCTAAAGTAATAATTTCCTGCTGAAATATTTGCACAGATACTCCAGCTCCTGATGTTACTAAGTGATAGTCTATTTCTTTATGATAATTGGTGAGCTCAAATACTTAAGATTTGGGTACTTTTCTGAATTTATGTTACACTTTAATAGACATATGAACATGTAAAATTATAACTGACAGTGAAAATTGTGGGGAAAAAGTCTTTCCTAAAGAGATAAAGCAACTGAACCATTAGTCATCTGATGGAAAGTAAGGAATAATAAACCATTAGGCATCTAAAGGAAAGTAAGCCAATAATAGCATGAGAAGTGCTATCTTATTATAAAATATTATAGACATGAAAAATATTAGGCAGGTGCAGTGGCACACACCTATAATCCCAGTTACTTGGAAGGCTGTCTCAGAAAAAGAGGAAAAAAAAAAAAAATCGTGGGGGCACTGGTGCTGTAGCTCAGTGGCAGAACACCTGCCTGACATGTGCAGGTCTCTAGGTTCCTCCCCAGAATGGGGGTAAAATCCTGTATAAATGATAGTCAAGAGGTAACACATTTTGATAAATATAGAACATGCAAACAGGATTCTAGGGTAATAAAAGCGTCCTGAATCCCTATACCTAGAAAAGACAACAAAAGAATATTTTCCTATAACCCAAATATGTACATATGTGCTTATATTCACACGTTATCATATATACAAATTATTGACATGTCTTTAAAATAAGATTACAGCAAACCGAGTGGAAGGGAATCTTCAATAACATCACTGAGAATTCCACAACTAACACCTTGACAAAATGTACATAATGGCCTACCTAAGTTGATAATATTTTGGGCCCAGAAGCTAGGATCACAGTGAAACTGGATAGTGTTGTTGGTCACTGGGGAAGCATCACACCTTGCACGAAGGAGGTGCCGTAACCGGTATGTAATCTGAAAGAAAGCAGAGAGAAAACTGAACAATATACCTTTATCAGGTAAATAATACATTACCTTCGCCCAATGAATACCTAAAAACCGTCACTGGTATACATGCAACTGATAATAACCAATCATATGTAGATCAGAAAAGTGGTCATACAAAATAATTTTCTTTTCAAATCATTAAATTTTTGAGGTGTAACTCAGCTTAACTGTTTCACACTGACCTAAAAAGTATTTTAAGGCGATAGGTTAAAGTGAGTTTTTTAAATTAGCAATGAAAGTTCACAGAAATGTCAAATCAAATATTGTAAAAAAATTAGCATACCTTATTCTTTTATTTACTTTAATTTTTAAGGGCAATACTCAATTTAGACTTAGGGATATAATGAGATATAGAAGATGCAAATTAGTCTGCTTAAGAAATGGAATGAGGTCTGCTAGTAGGATGGTTTTCCTTGCTTTTCATGGTGGCTCAGTTCCTACCACCTCCTGCAAAGGGATTCAAAATCTCTGAAGTGAATCCCATAACATCCATTTCTTTTCACAATCCCAATCTTCATTTTCACTTGGTCCTTAAAGATTTCAGTTCCTGGCATTCTATCATTGTCAGTTCCAATATAACTCTTGTCATAATTCTGGATGATTTTAATATTCAACCATCTTTCCAGCACAGATACTAATAATCCTACAAATCCACCAACTCCTATGAACCTTTGCTCTCACAACTTTTCCAGTCTTTCCATCTCACCTCACTATCCCTCAATATCCAGCTTAATTCCCATGGTCAATCATCACAAACATTTTCTTGCACAGATCCTCAACTTTTCTCTCCACTTACCCAATTTACAAATATTCTTCCCTCTCATGAACTTTCCCCCTGAATGAAACATACTACATTGATTAAATCTTTCTGTATCAATATTAATTTAATTCCTGAAATTGAGCTAATAACACATGACATTTCTCTGGTTCATTCATTTCCCTACTCTCATAAATGACTATTTATGAGACTATTCCTTCTATTTTTCTTTTCAAGTCTCCATCATTTTCTCCCCTATTCTCAATCTCAACTGATGGACTTGCTTACCATTTCACTGCGAAAATAGGAACAATCAGGGACCTTATTCAAATTTCCATCATGTATCAGTTATCTATTACAATGGATGAACTGTCCATGCTGGATAAAACCAAGCCAGCCCCATCTTTCCTACTCAGCAATTTTCATGAACCATACCCATCAAGATATAAACATGCTTTAACTTTTTCCAGTTAAAACCAAAACTCTTGACTCCTTTTTTCCTACATTTTTTTCCTCTTGTCTACAACAAAACTCAAAACTCATTTATATACATGGTTTCTCCCCTCTTATTCTTTTCTGAAACCATTATTTTCATACTTGGAGGAGCTTTCATCTCAGGTGGTAATATTGTTCTCCTGGAAACACTTTCTTTACATGGCTTCCTGCATACTGTAATTTCATAGTTTCCCCCTTATTTTGCTAGCAGTTACTTTTTTAATTTTTTAATTGCAGTTGCAGCACTGGCACTAGGGATTAAGCCCAGGCCCTTATAAATGCTAGACAAGCACTCCACCATTGACCTATATCCTTATCCCTTTGTAAAAATTTTGAGACAGAGTATCACTAAACTACCTGGACTGCCCTCAAACTTGTGATCCTCCTGCTTCAGCCTCCTGAGTAGCTGGAATTACAAGAATGTGCTACCATGCCCAATTCAGCTGCTACTTCTGGAAGCCACTGAAAATACAATAGGTTCCAATATCAACCTGTTTTTGAAGTGTCCAGTAAGGTGCCAGCTTAATATATATATATATTTTTTTGGCCTTGCACAACCTTTCTCTGCAGTATGGGTGTTTTATTTTCTCCCACAACTCCATTTGCTGGAATGCCCCAGGGCTCAGTCTTCTGACTTCTCAATCTTCTTCTAGACCCATATGCTTTTGGTGATTTCAAGCCAATCTCACAGTTTAAATGACTCCTCATTTTAGATTTGCAGCCTGAATCTCTCTTTTGAACTTGCCTTTCCAATGACTAATTTAGCCTCTCCACCTGGTTGTTGAAAAGGAATCATAAATGTGCCAAGTCCAAAGGGAACTCTTGATTTTTCTCTTAAGGTCTACTCTTCGTATAATCTTCCTTATGTCCATCTTCCTACACCTTAAGGTAAAAGGTCTTGGTTCCACTGTTTGTCTCACACCCTATATATTTAACCTGTCAGTAAATCCTGTTGGCTCTTTTAAGATAGATGGATAATCTGACCACTTCTCCTATCAGCTATGCTAGCTCCTGTTCCAAAAATGTGAACTTATCACAAGGTTCTAATTGGTCTCCCTAATTTTTCCTTGTCCTCAAACATCTACATTGTGTTCTCAACATAACAGATGGGGTGACCGTTAATATTATGCCATTTTCTCAAGCTCCTCCAATTATTTTTCACTCTGCTCCAATCCATCAAGCTCCTTGTTGTCCACATAATAAAAACTCTCGACTCAGTCTCTGCATTTGCTATGGGCTCTGCCAGAAATATTCTCCTCGAATATCTGCATGGCTTGCTTTCTCATTTCCTTCAGGTATTTGCTCACAATCACCCTCTTTAGATATTTAGATAATTTCCCCAATATACACCATTGCTCCCATACCACAACTTATTAGCATGAAACAGTCTATACATTTTAGTATTGTCTATCTCTACCAAAATGCAACTCCTTGAGGGCAAAGATTTTGTTTTGTTTACTCTGTTCCTCATCACTCAGAATGATACTTGGCATATGAAAGGTATTCCTTATAATTGCTAAATAAGTAAATTTGCTTCAATTATTACATTATCTCAAAAAAGTATAATAAATTTTGACAAAAAATTAATGAAATTTTAGGACTAAGAACAGTGTTAAGCAAATAGCCCTCAATAAAGCAAAGTGCCTTTCCCCAAGTTTTTCTCCCTTTCTTACATTTTGATATCCTCCAGTAATTCTGACCATAAATCACTCTTATAATGTTAAACAACAGAGCTGTTTTAAGAATTTCTTTGCAAATATCCTTACATTTGTATCATTTTCTAAAATTACTAATTTATTGTATTATTTAAAAGTTTTATTTTACTTGACAAATAGAAATTTTATTTACTTGTCATGTAAAACATATTTTGAAATATGTATACGTCATGAATTAGCCAAATTGAGCTACATGTATTATCTCACATCTTTATGGTGAGAATACTAAATAACTTTTATTAACTATAGTCACCATTTTATACAATAAATTTATAGTGCTGAATTTTTCTTGAATTCATTCATTTAAAATTTTGTATCCTTTGACCAATGTCTCTTCAAAAGCCTCTCAATAATCACTGTTCTACTCTTCTATAAATTCAGTTTTTTTTTTCCACCACAAATAATCTGAGATCTTGTGATGTCTTCCTGTGCCCAGCTTATTTCTCTTAGCATAATGCCCTCCATATATGTTGTTGCAACTGACAGGATTCTATTATTTGAAAGTCCCCATGGAAATTCATGTTGAAATTTAATTCCCATTGTGAGATAATAAGAGATGGAGCTTTAAAGGATGATTAAGTCTGTTAAAAAAAAAAAAAAGCTAAAACTGAAGAACCCCTATTAATACTTATTTCTTAATAATTTCCTAATCCCTGGAACTACAGAAATATTTACTACTATTAAAAAGAATGATTGGGCTTTATTTCCCTGGTTTCTGTCAATATATTTTTTTGTCTTCCCCTAAATTCCATAAAATAAATTCAATGTTTAATGGATGACAAAGAATCCTAAGGAAATATGGTAAGGCTCAAATATTTCAAAATATACTTCATTTAAGAACACTGGCTTCTGAAAGGATTGTGTTCTTCAACTGGGTTTGCTCTTTTTTCTGACTACAATTCATTTACAAAACAAATAAACAAATAAAAAACCCCAAAACTAGAAGAACTAAAATCATAAAACTCCTAAAACAAGCTTCTGGATACTGACCTTCCTTGGCAATGATTTTTTTCTTCTTCTTCTAATATCACACCAAAAGCCCAGCAACAAAGAGCAAAAATAAACAAGAATTCTGTCTTTTTAAAATATATATATAATGAAAAGTCATATGATATTGTATAGATATGCTTTGTAGTGAACTATAGTAGCAATAATTTCTATCCATGATAAAGAGTTCGTTGCAGCATTTCTTTTCCTGTTCTTTTTCTCTCTGTTTTTAAGGGTTAGAATTAACAAAGGGAAGGAACAGAAAACTCAACATAAAAGATTTAGAAGGAGAACTTATGGTGTTGGGACCTTGGCCATTATTGGGTGTTAGCTGAGGCGGCCTCATGGGTTAGCATTTCCGTATATATGACCTGGCTGGATTGGCGTTTGGGGGCTTTTAGCCCGCGTGCAGGCTTTTGACCTTAGCACCGCCTAATGGTTTAATCTGAAATCTGCCTAGGCCTCAGTGGTAGTGACATAACTGCTCCTTATTGGTTCTTGCTACTGTCTCTTCTTACCCCCTCCTAGCACTATATAACCTTGTCCCTTACACAATAAAGTTGAGATTATTGCACCTTCACGGTTGACTCATCTCCCCACTGGGTGTGATTGTGGGCCAGGTTGGATGGCGGGCCGGGTAGAGACACTTAACCCTCTCGCTCAACCCCGGAGACACTAGCTGGTCTAGTGTGCTTCACTACCCCTGTTGGAGGGCGATTCCGACAGTTGGTGCCTCGGAGTCGATAGGCTGGTCTCCCACGTACCCTTGTCGCAGGGGGTGACATATGGGACCTAGATTTGAGATTCATTGGATGTGATTCTAAAATCTTTTATTAAGCACTGTCAAAATTCTAAGTTTCATAGGTGTGGGTATCATATATAGATCCTTCTATATGTGCTACCATAGATGTGAAATTCTTGACCTTAATATCACCTTTGAAAATGTTAAATAGAGAATTCGATTTTCTGGATTGGTGCATTATATTACTAAAGAACTATTTGATTTTCAGCAC